TTGACTTAACTGAAAACTGTCCTGCACTCGTCATATTGATGTCTGTTTGGCGTGTGCGAAAGAAGGTGGCGTAACCCTCAGACCAAAAACTTGGTTCCGCGCAAGTCAATATGAGTGAGCCCCCCATCGCCAGGCCGAGGCTATAATTAGATTGAACGGAAGAAGAATATATTTTTCCTTGTCTTACCGTCGTAAATCTATTAAACAAAAGAAGAACAACCTTAGGTGGCACAGAGTTGAAAGGAAACATAAACTGTCTTAACTGTCACACTGACAGAATTACTAAACATCTCAATAATATTGGAAACCAAATTTTGCCGAATCACTTTTTAGAAATTTCACAAAGTGCCCGAAAATGGTAAGTCAACAACGCGATGGTCAATGCAGAGAAATCAAGCAAAACTTTCTTACAGAGCTTTGGACTTCCCTCGTTAAAAGCAAAGCCCTGCCAGGCAAGTGAGTATGGTTTCGATCAGGGACAATTTGGGGTACCAGACGTGATGAAAAGCGGCCTGGGATCAGCCAAGAGCACCTTAGAGAATGTGCATCCATTGGCCCAGTCTGAGAAGAACGTGAGTAAATCAGTGTTTTGGGTGAATTTCGCTCAATTGCAAGTAAACAGTGTCGTATTAGTCAGTTGGGCTTCAACAAGAACAAGACTAAATAAGATCCAACCAACATAATGTATTTTTTCAGTATCGTCAAAATGTGGACATGATGAACATGCAGATTCTGCGAAATATTCAAGGGATGCACGCCCCTTTGAAACTGGCAATGGAAATAAGGGCGGCGAATAAAATTGGACACTTGCCTTGCCTGCAATCCTCAAGGGTTATGTTCGATTCCCTGACTGGAAGAGACTTGGAAATCTCCCCTGAAGATGTGTTTAATACAGGGGAATTTTTGGAGGTGGTCGGGCAGCCCCATGCCATAGTGGAGAAATCATTAGGGATTTTATAAGTGTAAAGGTTATTTTTTAATAAAATTATTTCAACCAATTGTGACTTCGTAAATAAAATAGTCAGTAAACCGGGACAGTAAAGTATTACCTGGGCCGAATAGCAGTGTTGTCTAATTAATTGTTCAGTGTTGCAAAAACCCAACTGAATAAACTTGATTGGAAAATAACCCTAATTGAAGTGTTGTGACGTTTAGCTACTTGACATTTGTCGACGTACAGAGGTTATTTATAAGATTTTTTTACATAATTGCTACAGTACTCTATTAAACTCCTATTATTACTAAAATGCCTAGTACTCGAACGGTACAGTGATCGTATGTGGATCGACGCACGCGACGCTTTGAGGCAAATTTGTCGCCTAACGATGCAAAACCGCAGCTAAAAAGTGTATTGAAATCTATTTGCTGCAAGTTTCTTCCAGTTTTCTCCGGTTTGTTTGAAAATTAGGCAAAAACACAATGTTTGCAATGAAAAATCGCCAATCTATAGTTTTCATTTGCACTTTCCTGATGTGCTTATATTTCAGCAAGTGTGAAGTGGAACCCAACAATCCACAAGATGAACCAACTGTGGTTAGTTATATTTAAAAATTATCAGTTTCATTAATAGAACACAGTGCTTTTGCAAACAACTCATTGAATGTTTCAAATGCATCAGGAGACTGATGGATTCGACTGGAAATTATACTTAAAATGCTAAACTGAACTTAAGCCTTGTTTTGGGGTTTCACACTAAAGTGAAAGTATTCGATTTTATTCAGAATAGTGACATCCACACAACGGGCCGAAAGACATTGTGAGGTTGCCTTGAAACTAAATCAGGCTTAGCAAATTTTTCTGCTTAGCAATTTTAGTCAAAACTGACTTTTTACTTGTGATTGGCTCACAAAACTGAAATACTTTTTTTATCTCTAAGTGTGTCACGTATAGAGACAATAATGTTGAAGTTATCTAAACGTTTCAATGGATTTTCAGAAACGAGATACATTAGGAAAACGTTATCGAAATCGAGCTACTTTAATTAATGTGTATCCAGATGAACATTGTTCTTGAGCTCAAGTTCAAGCAGAAACTAGTCTTAGAATTCTAAAAAATCACAGTCTTAAATGATTGTATGCAATTTTTGCTTTTATTTACACTTAATTGCTGTATTTATTTGTGAGTAATAATGAGTTTTGCAACTGAAATTTTCCCATTTCGTCAATGATGATGCTTCTGTAGCAGTAATAGTTTAAGAGTTATGAAAATCAGCTGTATGAAGAACAAGTAGAAAATTGCCAAATACCAAGTTTTATTAATTTCTAGGCCCCTTCTGATCACAAGGAAAGCAAGAATATAATCAACGTGAAAGATGTGGGTTTTCTTCATGGGTTTGTGGCAAGTTTATCCGTTATTCTTGTGTCCGAAATCGGAGATAAGACGTTTTTCATCGCTGCGATTATGGCGATGCGACACCCGAGATTAACAGTTTTTGGTGGTGCCATTTCGGCATTAGTGTTAATGACAATTTTATCAGGTAATTTGGAGAATTTATAAAACGAATTACTGCTAAGTTCAATAAAACTGACTGAACGTTTCAAAGTGGGGAATTATTCGTCACATTGGCACACTTGGTTAATCTATGATTCCGACCAAGAATTTGGTTCCTTTGCGTTGGAACATGGCTCCAGCTATCAGAACAATCATATGCAAAGTGTTTTAGATAACTTTCGCAAACCAGGTCATATTTATTCAGCGATTTTAAAGTTAAATGTGTTCCTCTAAACGAAACTTAGCTGCGAATTAACGTTTATTGACCCCCAATTTATACAAATTTTATTACTGGAAAACGGTGTTACATCCAAGGCAAACAAAGCGCGATGAAACAATTCAACTGGATTGAAACACGCGTGAAATAAAAACCCGATAGTACCCGCAACTAAATCAATGCAGAAAAATGTAGGACAATGTTGTTTTTAGCTCTGTTTGGTTGGTTGGTAACAATCATCCCAAGAGCATACACTTTTTACATTAGTACGGCGCTCTTTGCCATATTCGGCTTGAAAATGCTAAAAGAGGGCTGTGCCATGTCCCCAACAGAGGGCCAGGAGGAAATGGAAGAAGTGCAAATGGAGTTGAGGAACCGAGAGGAGGAGGTAACCAATCCCGAACTAACGCCCCAAGTAGATAACATATAAGTGTTAATTTCAGTTAGAAAGGACTTCGAATCAAGACGTTGAAGTGGCCTCTACGAATCGGCGCCCCAAATCCACTAATCCGCTTGCGGTGACTTTGAGGATATTCCTGCAAGCCTTTACTCTAACGTTTTTAGCTGAGTGGGGCGATCGATCGCAACTAACGACAATCCTGCTGGGAGCCAGAGAAGTGAATTTTATATAATTGATTAAAATAAACAAATCTAACGAATGTTCAATCGCTTGCAGAATGTCTACGGTGTTATACTGGGTGGAGTAATCGGACATTCAGTATGCACAGGCGTGGCTGTTTTGGGTGGCAGGATGATAGCGCAAAAAATCTCAGTTCGAACTGGTAACTTTGTTAACATTTTTTGATTATCGTATGTTTTAAATGTAATTTTCTCTATTCTAGTGACGATTATTGGCGGTGTAGTGTTCCTAGTGTTCGCCCTGTCGGCCCTTTTCTTCGATCCCAACATGGGGGAAGAGGATCAGTCTAAGAGCGCAAATTAACCAAGCAGCAAACAGTTTATAAATGCCGAATGATTATTTTGATTTGAGAGAGGGATTTTATGTTATAAAATTCCGCTTTGAAACCAATCTCTTGTGTAAAAAATCGGATTATAATTTTAGCCGTTGTAGAACATTGTCCGGGATAGCAAGTTTTATTTTTGTATTTACCTAAAGCGATTTTATGAAGCTTTTATAGCCAGAGTATGCATCTAATAGCTTGTAAGCACGGTTTACTGTCTGTTTGAATATTTTCCACGTGTTTAGACAAGTTGTAGTGTCATCAATGCGAATAAGTATCATTAAGAAGTAATTCCCGGTTGAAAGAACCCAATGATTGATTTCAAGTTGCGTCCATTGAGTATCAAAGCAATTTTGCCTGCATATTTTTTATATATATATATATTTGTTATGTACATACTTTCTTTGAATATTTTATTTTACTATTGAGTACTTATGAGGTCCGTAATATGTATATGTGTTTAGTCAGGAGTTACGTGTAATAAAATCCGACGTTGTAAAGCAAGTTTTTCGATTGCCAATTTTCTGAGAGTCTTTTGGTGTAAATGAGCCATTTCCTCGAGATGGTAGCACAAAGACCCTTCATCCTCCTGTAAAATGCCCCGAGAGGAAAATATTGATGTTTATACATCCAGCATTTAATAGATTCTCGATTTTTCAGCTAGTTTAAATCGAGGTATAAAATGCAAAAAATAGCCTGCACGTGTTGTGCACTATCGGCTAGAGCTCCCAAAATACATCCAAATCCCCATATCTAAACATGACTGTATTTTTGCAAAATAGTATTTTTAGAAATTTTATTTTGAAAAATAACAAGCCTTGTGTGATCGGGACCCGATGCCCGATGATGGAAACCTTTTTGATCTTTACCATCTAATTAAAAGCGCATTTAACTGCGGTGCCGTGATTTTCACGAAATTGTCGAAAATATTCGATTATTTTTACGACACGAACTCTATTCCTGTATGGGCGCTGCTGTTTATATTTTGATAGAACCGCCTAATTCGAGTCGAGACACAAAGCGTTGTCTCATTTTGCGAGGGACCAATTTTGAAATTCACATCCTCATTTTCGCTTCAATTAGTTTAGAAAATAAAAACTTTTGCCAATTATAAAACAGTGTTTTCCCTATAAAATACATACAAAAGCTACAATCGCACATCGTCAGTAACTGATTTAAGAAATGTCGAGTTCCAGGCTGCTAAAAACTTGCTCACCCAATCGCAATTTGAAAAAATTGTCTGATGATGACTAAAAATCGAAATTTTGTCCACTCAGACCTGCTGTCTACAAAACTCATCCAACATTGACGGTCTCACTTAGCGAGTTACAGAGAAAATAAATGCCAAACTGCGGCCTTCACAAGCCACCATAAAAACAAACGCGATTTAAAGATTTTTGAAAATTGCCTGATAATTACTAAAAATCGAAACGTTGTCCACGCATAAAAGAGACGTTTGATCTCGTCCAAAAGTGATCTTTCTCACTCGATTAAAGTGCCTGATTCAATTCGAGACACAAATCATTGTCCCATTTTCTTTTCTTGCGCGGCCAATTTTGAAATTCACATCTTCATTCGCGCTTCAATTAATCCCTGACTTGGCCTATTACAATTTTTCATTTCTGATGTTTTCAGCTACGTGAGCACGTTCACAAGTGCCGATTCAATTTGGGTAGTTGCAACCATAGAATATTAATTGAATCTATTTTCGTTTCGCAGTTCATTCTAAAGGTCCTTCAAGATATTTGATTCGATTTTTATTACCATGCAAAATGTAGAGTGCATTTTTCAATATCGAAAACGATTCTTATAATGAATCAATTCATTTAGAATTAATGCATTTTCTAATTAAGCAAAATTCGTAATTCTGGGAATTTTATAAAAGTACAAAAAAGTTGTCTGGGAGCAACATCCCAGGCCCACCCATGAAGAAATGTCACCTCGGAGCCTGAACCCATGAAGAAAAATCACGTTGTATTTCCTTAAATTGTGACCATTATGACAAAACGTGTGGATTTGGATACGCAATATGCGGGTTAAACTTTGAATAAATGGGCAAAAAAGATGCAGAATTTTTGCGAAAAGTCTAATCAAATTCTGTGTATTCTTCTCCTTCTTTCAGCCTAAAAATGTCACAAAACGATACTAAAAATATTCTGCTTTGCAAAAATTCACATTTTTCTACTAGAAAAACGGAAAAACTTACCATTTTTGCAAAACAACCAGGCGCGATTTGTAAACAGCCCTTCCAATGCATCACTAAACAATTGACTAAGGCAACGTTGCCAGCAGAGCTTGCATTTAAACTTTTTGTAGCCGAATTATTTTTTTTGCAATGGACTTTTATTACAATTTCCCATTTTTTATTGAGAAACTGTCTGCCAAACTTAGGCCTGCAACAGCGAATTACAAAATCAAAAGCTGTTCGAAAAATTTCTCAAAATTTGCCTGGGAATGAATCAAAATCGAAACGTCCCATAAAATGCGCCCGAAAGTTTCTCTCCAACTTCACTGGTTTCTGAGAAAATGTGTGAAACTGAAGCACGCAAAACAAGCCCATATTGCAATTAAAAAATCATAGATATTTCCTGAAGATGGCTCACAACTCGAAACTTATTCGGCTTACAAAACAACCTATTTCCTAGAAAACTCGTGCAATAGTCAGTTCCTACCTGGACTAGTTTCTGCATAATTCCGATCTGCATAAACAAGCGCAAAATCAAAAAATTCATGAAAATTCTGACACAAAAGTGAATCTCTAACTTTGGAAGTTCCTAAGGAAATAAATGTCAAATTCCCCCCTATTAAAACAACTTGGTAAACCAAAGGCAGTTTCGAAAAATTGTCAAAAATTGCCTGATGAGTGCGAATAATTCAAACTTTGTTCACTTATAGAACTGACTTTTACCAGAGCTTTTACCTACAAAACGCATTCAAAATATACTGTTCATACCATGCAAGTTACAGAGGAAATAAAAAGCAATCGCGAATTTGAGAAATTCTGCGACATTTCCTGATGATGGCTGAAAAACAAAACTGGCTTCTGTTTTTTTCATTATTATTTTGTATTTTATAGAGCCAAGTCTGGCTAAAGCAGACCTGGGTCTATAAAATACAAGCAAAAGCTCCTCGCTCGCGCCGTTAGTTCCTGAATAAAAAAATGTTAAGTTCCAGGTAGCAAAGAAAGGGTTGATAACCCAAACGAGATTGAGAAAAATTGTCAAAAATTGCCTGTTGATGACGAAAAATCAAAACTTTGTTGACGCATAGAAGGGATGTTTGCTTACTAAGCTCATATAAAATTGACTATCTCACTTTCCGAATTACAGACGAAATAAATGTTAAACTGCGCCCTGCATAAACCACGACGAAAACCAGTCGGGATTTAAAAAAATTCTTGAAAATTGTCTGATGATGACTGAAAATTAAAACTTTTGTCACTTATAAAACAGTATTTACTATGGAAAAAATATATAAAAACGATAGTTTTTAGGCTCTCGATCCTGAATGAAAAATGTCAAGCTCCGGCTTTTAAAAAATCCTGCAAACTCAAACGCAATTTTGAAAAATTGTCAAAAATTGCCTGATGATCACCAAGAATCGAAATTTTGCCCACTCATAGAACGGACGCTTGCTTACAAACTCATACAAAACGGAGTTTCTCGCTTCCCGAGTTACAGACGAAATAAATGTTAAACTGCGGCCTGCAAAAACCACTGCGAAAACCAAAGACGGTTTTGAAAAATTCTTCCAAATTGCCTGGTGATGACTGAAAATTAAAACTTTTGTTACTTATAAAACAGTGTTTACTATAGAAAAAATATATGAAAACGATACCTTTTGGCCTCTCGATCTTGAATGAAAAAATGCAAAGTTCCGACCTTTAAAAAAACCTGCAAACTCGAAAGCAATTTTGAAAAAAATGTCAAAAATACCTAAGATTGAAACTTGTTTGCTTTCAAAAATTAATACAAAACAGAATTTCTCACTTCCCCAGTTCCAGACGAAATAAATGTTAAACTGCAGCCTGCAAAAGCCACTACGAAAATCAAAGGCGATTTTAAAAAAATTCTTGAAAATTGTCTGATGATGACTGAAAATCAAAACTTTTGTCACTTACTCACATAAAACAGTCTTTACTGTAGAAAAAAAATATAAATTGATACTTTTTCGCTTCTCGATCTGGAATGCAGAAATGCCAAGCTCCGGCTTTTAAAAAAACCTGCAAATTCGGACGCAATTTTGAAAAAATCTCAAAAATTGCCTGATGATCACCAAAAATTGAAACTTTGTGCACTCATAGAAGGGACGTCTGCTTACAAAACTCATACAAAATGGAATTTCTCGCTTCCCGAGTTACAGACCAAATAAATGTTAAACTGCGGCCTGCAAAAACCACTACGAAAACCAAAGGCAATTTTGAAAACTTCCCCAAAATTGCCTGATGGTAATTGAAAATGAAAACTTTTGTTTATAAAACAGTTTTCACTATAGAAAATACATATAAAAACGGCACTTTTGCTTCTTTCGTTCCTAAATAAAAAAATGTCAAGCTCCGGCCTTAAAAAAAAACCTGCAAACTCGAACGCAAAAATTAGAAAAATTGTCAAAGAGTGCCTGATAATTACTAAAAATCGAAACTTTGTCGAATCAGAGAAGGGACGTTTGCCTACAAAGCTAATCCAAAATTGACTTTTTGCTTTCCGAGTTACAGACGCAATAAACGTTAAACTGCGGCCTGCAAAAACCACTACGAAAACAAAAGGCAATTTTAAAAAATTCTCGAAAATTGCCTGATGATGGCTAAAAATAAAAACTTTTGTCACTTTTAGAACAACGTTTGCCCTACAAAATTCTATCAAAAGCGACGATCTCGCACCGATTATGCCTGAACAAAAAATTTTCAAGTTCCAACATGCAAAAACCGAAGGCAATTTTGAAAAATTCTTAAAAATTGCCTGATGATGACATACAAAAGCGAAGCTCTCGTATTGTCACTTCTTGAATAAAAAAATATCAAACTCCCGGCTGCAAAAAGCCCGCTTACCGAAATTAAAGTTTGAAAACTTGATAGACAACGCCTGATGATGACTAAAAATCGACACTCTGCCCACTTATTGACGATATTCGATAAAAAAATCGACGATAAAAAAATCGAAATTTATCTTTAAATGAAGGAACAATTAACGCAAGAATTTAAATGGGGCACTTTGTAAAACAAACAGGAGGACCCGTAAAAACAAACTGGCTGTCTTAATGGGGCCCCCTATTCTCACGCCAAGTACCGTACAGTCGTTATTTTTAGCCACATCACACGAGTACTATTGAGTTTTCATAGGAAATTGAGCTGGAAGGAAAACTGATTAATGATGCTGTCTCGAGCTTTTAGTCAGATTGCCTTTTTGGTAAGGACGCAATAATTATATCTCAAGGGTGTCCTAATTAATTTTATGACGATAATTTACTAGTAGTAGTATTTCCCTATTTGAAAATGTCAGAATAACCCCTAGATTGTAACTCGTTAAAGTTAAGTTATGGCCACTTGGAGGATTATTGCTATCATACACGACAGTTTTAGTTTGCATTATGGCCTTTTATAGTGATAAGTACCAACAAAAAAACCAATTCCAGAAATTAGTGAAAATTAGGTAAAAATTAATGGATCCAAATCGACTGTTAATAGGGCGCTAAACTAAAATAAAAGTATTAACGTTGCCCGTTTAAAGCGGGCATCCCTTTACTGGAAAATAAATTAAGTATAATTGCATCTAATTAAAAATCCCAAATTATTGATTGTGCCCTGGCACAAGTAAAGTGAATCAATCTTTCAAAGTTTTAAAAAGCTATTGCAAGCAACAAGCGATTTTTCAGCAGTTCAGTTGTGGGCGCTTTCAGCACCTCTCTTCTCCAGGAAAAAGGACATCAATCCCATCAAACAACTGGCTAAACTGGGATGGCAATATAATCGACCAATCGGCCGAGCTACTCGCGACCAATAAGGATGCGAAGTCCTTGCAAAAGCTCTCTCAGCCTGCCAGCAGGAGCTTTTCCAACGAAATTTGCACTTAGATCAGTTTTCCTCGGAACATCGTTTGGAGAGCTTGTTTCCCGAATTTTCCCTCATGGAGGCCTGGAAATACGCGGGGTTTCGCCTTTATTGTTGTCTCGGGATTTTTGTTTAAGTCGACTATTGTGTTAAGCTGTTTAATTGTTGGCTTCAATTTTTTTCATTCATATTTTGGTGTTGTGTGCGGTTTTCACAGGTTAGTGACACTTTCCATTGAGAATTTATCTGTGTTTTATTGGTAAAGTTGGAAAAAAAATTGTCAATTATTAGAGCGAATTTATGTCTGAAAATTGGATCCTCATTTGATTGACTATGCGAGGAGGAGTTTATTAAAATGAATTCCAAACATATTGAACATTGACGAAGAATACAGAGCGAAACTCGAGGAGATTTGCTTTTTCCCCCAAATCGCTTTGTACGGTTTCTTTAGATTGTGTTCCGTACAATTACCGATTTCCTGCTAGAAAGCAGCATGAGCCTTAACTAATTGGACCACAGGTTTTCCGGAAAATCAACTGGAAGATTTTTAAAACGAATATTAGATCGAGTAGGAATAAGTTGCGAAAATACTTTTTTCGAACGTTTCGCAACCCCATTAGAGTGCATGTTCAGAGGTGGTTTGCTCGGTTCAACTGCCAATAATTGGCCGGCAATTAGGAAATGAGGGCCAGATGATGGGGCATTTGTAAATTTGCCGAAAAATTCTTAAATCAGTTTGTCTTTGCTTATCGAGAAAAATGCGCGCTTTTCAACGCCTCTTTAAGTAAATTTGCATCCCGCTCCGATGCCTGGAAAATAGTTWAAGAAACTCACTGGAGAAACATGCGAGAACCTWATATGCRTTGGCGGGGCGCTTGAAAATTTGCCAAAAATCMATCAAGCCCTATAGGAAWGCGAAATTCTACTCATTTAGAAAGCAAAGTGCGCTTTTTCCAATGCCACCTGAGGCAATTTTCTACCCTATTCCGTTGCCCAATAATTAATTAATTAAATTCTAGAACAGAAAACGAGTTTGAAGCGATCGAATTTTACGGAAAACCAACCCAGTCTTGCCGGGAAATGAACAACCCAGCCTTGGAGGAAAGCGAAAGTCTCCTCATTTATAGAGAAAATTACGCTCTTTCCAACGACGCTTTCTGTAACTTTTCATCTYGTTTCTGTGTCTGRAAATTAATTAAAGAAATTTTCGCTAAAAACGAAGGTGACATGAAAGCGTTTGAAAATTCGGTAAAAATGAACCCAGCATTGCAGGAAAGTTAAAATGTCCTCATTTATTCAGAATAACCCATCCGGTCTTTCCATAGCCACTCCTTACTACTTTGTGTCTTATTTCTTTGCCTACAAAGGAGACATGGGGCGTTTGAAAATTGCCCAAAAATCCACCCAACCTTGAAGAAAAGTGAATATTTTATATTAGTTTTATAGAAATGTCTGTTCTTTAAAGCGCCGTGTCTCGCAACCTTCCATCTTTTTCCTTCCCCTAGAAATTAATTAAAGAAACTGTGCCTAGAAMGGAATGTGACGTGACGAAGTCGTTTGAAAATTCGTTAAAAATCAATTCAGCTTTGGAGAAAAGTGAACATTTTCTCGTTTATAGAAAAACGTGTGTTCTTTTCAACGCCGCTTTCCTCAACTTTCCGTCTTACTCTTTTGATTGGAAAATATTTAAAGAAACTGTTTCTCGAAACGAAGGAGAGATGGGGCGTTTGAAAATTGCCCAAAAATCCACCCAGCCTTGGAGAAAAGTGAAAATTTACTCATTTATACAGAAAAGTCTGCTCTTTAAAGCGCCGTGTCCCACAACCTTCCATCTTTTTCCTTCGCCTAGAAATGAATTAAAGAAACTGTGCCTAGAAAGAAATGTGACATGAAGTCGTTTGAAAATTCGTTAAAAATCAATTGATTGATTTAGAGAAAAGTGAAAGAAAAGTGTCTTCTTTCCGTCTTAATCTTTTGATTGGAAATTATTTAAAGTAACTGTTTCTCGAAACGAAGGAGACACGGGAACGATGGGAAAATTCGCCAAAAATCAACCCAGCCTTGTAGCAAAGTGAAAATTTCCTCATTAATACACAAAAATGTGTTCTTTTCAGCGCCGCTTTTCTCAAAGTTTCAACTTATTACTTTGTTGGGAAATTAATGAAAGAAACTGTCCCTTACGAAAGTAACATGCGGGCGTGAAAAATCCTCTCTTT